GCCACTCACACCACTGGTCCTGTAGGGCTCATCCACCCTGGATTCCCTGGATTTTCAGTGATCTCACTTTTGACACATTTTAAAGTTGCTTCAGTTTTTTTTTAATGTGAAGGGGAAATGCACGTGGATGAAGTCTCTGGTGAATAGACCAGGGGTGTGAAGAGCATTGCTATCGTGTAGAAGCATTAGAAAGTGAATTACTGCAGATGCAGTTAGGTTAAAATTGAACAACTTATTGTTTGATCTATTTACAGTTCTGGTTTTTAATATTTTCAGCGTTCTTTTCTATTGAAGTTTGTATCTATTTTGTTTTGTCGTTGTTAGGTTTTTTTTGTTTGTTTTAATGATTTCTGTATATGAAATCCAGTAAATCTATAGCAACAGTAACTGGATTGGTGACTCCTTAGAAGTATAGCAGGGCAGGTTGGGGGAAGTGGGGAACTAGTAATGAACAAGCAAAATGTTCTGAAACTGATTATGGTGATGATTGTACAACTCTTCTGGGTGTGGTTGAACTGTTGAATCGTATGACATGTAAATTACATGCTAATAAAACTTTTAAAAAATGTACTGGTTGAGATGCACACTTTTGGCAAGCTATGTGAGTTTTTGGTTTTTGTTTTCTCCTTGTATCTAGACCTGTGTCTGCTCAAACCGTTTCTTGGTGCAAAAAGGCATCCACGATTCCTTTGTGAAAAAATTTGCAGAAGCAATAAAGCGAGACCTGCGTGTAGGCAATGGTTTTGAGGAGGGAACCACGCAAGGCCCACTAATTAATGAAAAAGCAATCGAAAAGGTAAGTTTGTTGTATTATCTGATTGAGTAAGCGTCATGGTTTTGACATCAAAACTTAACTAGCAAAAACAAACCCAGTCTGCTGAGATGCCCAGCGGGGTGATTTGGAAAGCAATAGCGGGAGCTGGAAAAGCGAGTGTCTGTCGATCTGAATGATTCGAGGGGCATCATGTGGTCTTAAACTTTTCCAGTTGTTGTTACGCACAGTCTGTGAGGTCGGTCCCTGTAGGCCTCCTGCCCCCTCCCGCCCTCCCTGTTGTCCTGGTGACCACTGGGCTTCGGTCTCTCTGCCTCAGAATGTAAGTTCCATACATAGAACCCTAAAGAATATAGGGTTCTTTACAGACAGTCCTTTTGGGGGGGACACCCAAAAGGAAAGGAAAACTGACTGGTTTTTCAGATTGTTGATATTTCAGCGGACATACTACCCTGGCTCTGTTGTTTCTGTGCTTCTCCACAAACCATTCATCCAAACAGTCTTCCGAGAACCCGTCCCAGCAGGAAGATAGGTCATCACGTGTCCGTGCTCGGGATTAAGGGATGGTAGGAAAGGGCTCTTAGGATCAGGGCGAAATTCCTTGTTCCGAAAATATCACAATTTCGATTTCTAGGTAGGATGTCTCTCTTTGCTCTACTATTAAAGACAAAACACAGCTATTTTAGTGCTGTACACAAGGACTTTTCTTACAAGAGTAAACATCCAGTGTCGACCTTGGTTAAGCCTCTGCAGATAGAAAGGATTTTAGTGGAGTAAGTTAGGTCCGGCAGAATATGGAGACCGGGGATGAGTGTTGGAACGAAGAAAGGAGAGAGGAGCCACGACACCACTCAGGTGGGAACCACAGCCTGACCCCTGTTCAGTGACCCCTGTTCAATGACCCTGAGAGCCTGGGATCACACCTTGGGCTGGCTGCCCTGACACAGTGGACGGTCAGTGCAGCCGACTGCGCATTCCTTACTTCACCAGGGAAACCAGGAGATGCTTCGGAGGCTGACGGAACTCTGATCAACTTCTAGTTACTGCCCTGAGGTTCCTATTTTAAAAAAACACTGCCATCAAGTTGATTCCAACTCAGAGTGACTCCACAGGACAGAGTAGAACTTGCCCTTTGGGTTTCCGAGAACAAATCTGTACATTGGCAGACCCCCTCATCTTTCTTCCGAGGAGCGACAAGTGGTTTGGGGCTGTTGATCTTTCCATCAGCAGTCCAACACTAGACCCACGGAGCCACCAGGACTTCATGTAGATAGATTGAATATCTTAATGTCTACCCTGATGCTTGCCAACATTCTTAGGGTAACTTTGGGCCCTGGGAAGAGTCTAGGTTGCTCGCTCTGTATTTTGGGTTGGATTCAGCTACAGTTCAAGACCAGAGTGGTGGTTCTTAAACTGTTCCGAGCAGGTTGTCTGGCCTGGGGCAGGGCATTGCTGCTTTGAAGCCCACAGATGATGTTGGTTTGCAGGCAGGTTTGGAAACTACTGTCCTAGGGAATTGTTGTTGTTTTAAGCCCAAATAAAGGTGAGACCATTGCTATGTAGACGGCACTGTTTGCTGGGCCTTCAAGCTCCTACCGTAAGGTAGGATTTATTTATGTTAGGGAGAGAAAACTTCCGTGCATAAACCTTGTTTAAGAACAACCATTGTATAGGCTGTAGTAGACATGCAGTCAGAAAGTAGATTCCTGGGTGGGAGGTGTCATGTTTCAATCACATTTGAGAGGACACGAGAGAAGAGATGGTGTTTGGTGCCAGAGACTGGCCCATGTGATGCATGCTAAATGTAATGACTTTTTAAAATACAAATCCTAGAAAGTAAGCCATCCTTGGGGCTGGTGGGAGGCACCAGGCTAGTAAAGCATTGTACAGGCTGTGATTTTAGGAAGAGGAAGAATGGAAGCCAGATGTACCCACGTCTGTATTTTCCTCTTCCGGAATGCGGGGGAAATTCCATCGAGAATGAGAGAAGGCAAGACCCCTGTGAACCAGAGAGTGTGAAGAACTTCTTGGAGGCAGAAGAATCAGGTTCCCAGAAAGGCCTAAGCAGAGGGGGTATGCCCAGTGGAAGCCTGCAGAGGAAATGGTTCCATTATTTGTGTCAAACCTTCCAGAATTGGCTAGAGTGGAGAGCATAAATCTGGAGCTGATTGTCTAAACATTTGCTCAGTGTTCGGAGTTATTCACATACCAGCACCAGCAGCAGCAGCAGCTAATACATCCAAACACAGCAGAGGCATTTGCTCTTGGCAGAGAAAATACCCGGAAAGGAATGATACTCTGTCAGGAACAAGTTCTTAGAAAGTGGCGGTGGGTGCACCAGAGGGGAGGACTCTGCTAGCTTTGCTCTTTGGGAAAGGGGCTGTCCCCCAAGCGAAGCCCACAAGTCAAAATAATCGGATCGGAATAGCAAAGGTCACCACTCCCCAACCACCTACATTAATCAGTACAGCCCTTCATTCATAAAGATAAATGACCAAGGATTATCCTTGAAAGAGGATCAACAGCATCAAAGAGGAGAGATTGGGGAAAACAAACAAACGTCTGACCCAGCAGGAAACGGATGAACTATGGAATAGAAAGGAAATTTGAAAGCATCGAATTACTGTCCTCCAAGAGATTTCAGAAGGTATTCCACTCATTGATTTCAAAGGGCAGCTCAAGAAGACAAAAAGACAGTATTACAATGTCCAAAACCAGTAGTCACAAAATCAAAAGGAAGACCACATTTAGCAGTTCTCAAGCTGAAAGAACTAAAGGGAAAAGTCAAGCCTTGAGTTGTAATTCTGTAGGCAAAGTATTGAATGATGTAGGAATCATCAAATTCCCCTTATCTCAATAGTATTTTAAATCCGGTACAATCAATACTATTAATTAGAATTACCCAAGGTTCCATAGTGTTTACTTCTTTATCGCTCAAAAAGCCGATAATACTGCCACTAAAGTGGACCAGGGATATATATATATAAAGCATTAGATACATGAATAAATGTTGAGTTCACCCTTAATCTGTAAGCCCTAACCTAAAACAATCCATTCTTATGATGCTGGTCTGCTTGGTGATGCTAAAGATATAGGCGCTAAAACAAAGTGTGATGAAGAAATCAGATGGTACGCAACTATCAGAAAGAATAGCATCTGGGGTCTCAAAGCAAGCGGCCGGCCAAGTGTGGGGTCAGTTACGTCCATGTGAAAGGACACACCAGCCTGTGTAATCCATGGTTTATAAATAATAAAGTTCAAAATAGAGGAGGGAATTTGTGTTAGTCTGGGTACTTCAGAGAAACATATCCACAGAAACTCA